CTGACACATACGAACGCCAAACCCTTTAAGGGTTTTACTATACTGACCTAGTACTGATTGGAATTTCTCACCCCCCAGATTAGCTGCTATACTGTGTTATGAAGACACAAATATAATGATGATACAATATGTACGTATTATTGACAACTATTATTTTAGTAGGCAGATGGACACCGTGGAGTGATTGGAGTTCATGTTCTCCTGACTGTATACAAATACGGCGGCGAAAGTGCATTTATCCTGCCTCTGAAGATTTAAGTGTTGAATCACACGAAGGTTCTGTTCACAATAATGGCGTTATAGGTCTAGGGTTCGTAAAGGTTCAGTGCCCAGGTAAAGATATACAAACAGCGGAATGTCGCGGAGAGCACTGTTTAATTGGAAATGATGGTAAAGAATTAGCACATTTATATACAGGAGAGAAAATGTATATATATTATTTCAATTTTAAGGTTTCGACTGGACACTTTACCTTGGCTTAGCTTTTGTGATAACTGTATGTGTAGCATTTGGTGCTGCTCTAATTTACTGTGCTCGTCGGAATTTGGCAATAAATTCTCACTATAATATGACTAGAACAAGTAAGAATTTTTTTTTAGAACTTTCCTCATTTACTTACTTTGTTTTTTCAGATATTAACTCAGATTATATGCAAGGAATAAATAAGAAGGGAATCAATATTGAGACGGCAAATGTCAATTACGATTATCCCAGTTCCGATCACAGATTTATGTCTAATGATCATATAATCAATTGTGAAGCTTCCGAACATCACTATGACGTACCAAATTTATCTGCCAAGTAAAATTTGTTGTTTATTTTATTTTATTGGTTATTTAAACTTCCTGTCGTATTATAGTTATACCAACCCAATAGATGAAATAAGTGCGGAGTACGTCACAGATACACCAGAAACATCCACAGCGGATACATGTAAGATCGTTTAAGCCTCATTACTCTAAATAACTCTTTTTGATTCATTATTTCTATCTGTGCTATCTATGCGCGATACTCTCTCCTCAAACATGTAGTGTAAAAGCACTAACAAAATTATCGATTTGAATTCTTACGAGAGAGATGAGTAAGAGAGTTAATATGGTATTAATTACGACACATCTTCTCAGGCAATTCACATTGTCAACATCTAGGCATAGACTGAACAGAATACCAGACCTTTAAATATTCACTCAGAGTTCCGTCCTGTTTTTTTTTTTTTTTTTGTTTAAGGGGTCCAAAATTTTCCATAAGTTTTCGATTGAACTGTTGATTGTGCCAGACAAGCCGTAACATTAACACCATGATCTGTAAACCATTTTTCTGCAAGACCCAAATTATGTTTCGGGTTGCTATCCTTTTGGAATTGCTACATTGAAGGCGAAATTCATTCAGTATATAGGAGTATTATATCTAAAATTTTAACGTGTATTTATATAGAGGTGCATGTTTTCTTATATCCTAAAAAAAGGTTCGGCACCACACTGAGCCTCTAACCATTATATATTGCCGCCACGGTCTTTGAAGGACTGAGTTGTGTAGCGAACACATATTTATTTGTTTTTTTGAACGTCGGATTCATGCCTAACCAGAACTATCGATCATATTAACTTTGCGTTCAGACCATAAAATGTCGAACCACATTTTTTTAATTTTCAATTCCACCCTAACTAATGTATCGTTTTGCAAAATGAATACCATTGCTTCTATAACATTTTCTCAACATTGGCACCTTTCGGAGCAATGTGCATAAGTGGGAAACTGTTGTTAAAGAAATTTGTGCACCTAATTCTTGTTGAATGAATTTTTCGACTTCCGCATTAATTTTTTGTGCTCGGCTTATTTTTCGGAAATTTTGAGGCATTAAACACAAATTTTTGGGATATTTTCAATATTTTTTAAATTTTTCTTTGCGTGTGGCCCTTTTATTGCAAATTTTGGACGCACAATCTGTCTTTCTAAGAATATTGTTTTATTGTATTGTATTGTTTTATTGCATTTTTCTACATAAATAAATAATTGATACAAATATTCATTCTACGGATATAATTAATATAACAACTTACTACGGTTTTTAAATTCAATATCTTTCATTTATGAAACTATTTCGGTATTGATTCAATTATTCTTCCATTAAGCACGAGGCAATCTATTAACACTTTAAATAGGGTTTTTACAGTTAGCTGTACAACTCACCAATGCTATCCTTTCCTCTTTACATAAATGAGCAATTTCTAAAAAATTATATAATTGATTCTATTTTATTGTGTGTAACTATGTGTATGTATATGTATGGTTATGTTTTTTCAAAAAATTCATTTGTAGAAAGAATAACATTTCTACTTTTTCCATTTTCCACATAAATTTTGTCATCCTCATAAAAATTTTAAACGGTTCAAGAGCTCAAACTTGGGCTATATCAGCTCGAAAATACCTACCTCACGCCGTTTCGTGAATGATTATTTTATGGTATCAAATGCCCACACAAGAACATTGCCACCCTCAATGACAAGAAGAAGAATGTGCATTTGTATTAGTTCTCTGTAAAAAATTATTATTGTTTACGTAAGATTCTATTATTCTATTGTTTTGTTTTCCCAAGTTTTGAATTTTTTTTTGTAATATTTTCCTATTAACAATAGCACTTGACGTGAAGGATATAATAAAACTATTTTTGAGTTGAATTTAAATTAAATTCATATTTTTTAGAACCAATAATTAGTACTATGGATGACTAGTTTATGTATGTATTTACGTAATTACTATTTTTCATCATTTGTTGAAATATGTATATGTTTTGAATATTATTTTGCTAAACTGCAGTTTACGCAACATAACAAAAAGCATGGGAACTTGCATTTCATATTTACTGCCATCATGCGATTGAAGCTAGGCTTGTACACGTATGTACATAAAAATTTTTATGGCTCTATCAAATTACCAGAATGATAGTACCTTGCTAGTATATTGCTAGCAATCCAGATTTTTAGCAATCTTTAATTGCTTCAATGGTTTGCCCATTTATATTTTGAAATATTTTTCCTCAAGATCCCATAAATTCTCAATAACTTTTACTCTTAATTGCAAATGGTATACAAGCCTTAAACCCAAGTTTGTATGTGAACCTTACCTAATTTGAAATTTATCCACTTTAAAGTGTTTATAGAAAATTATTTAAGCTCGACGCAAAATATAAAATAAATCTTCATTTTTGGGAGAACCTAATAATAAATATATATGTTGTATGTATTTAACAAATTTGTGAAAAATTAATTTTTTTTCTTTACACAGGAATTTTCACATTTTTGTGCATAATAAATAACCCACTGTATAATTATTACTCGTTTCGATTTTTAAACGCGATTTTATTACTCTTGCCACTTCTGAAACGCAGAAACTGTAGAAATCGTTTTTTATATACTTTTTTTTTTATTAATAACGTGAGACTGCTGAAAGTTTACCACTTTTTAACTTATTGGACTTATTTAAGGAATATAGTCAGAAGGCCAAAAAATTCAGCAGTTTTTCTGAGAAAACTTCTAAGTTTATTGATACAAAAATTTGCACACATATAATATTATGCCATTTTTTAAGACTACATATTAGTAAAAATATTTATTTGGAAAGGAACTGCAGTTGATCACGGGGAGCTTCTCTCAAAAAAAGATGTATCGAAGAACAGTTTTCGTTAAACTAATGATATATCTTACAATTAATTGAAGGAATAAGCAAAGTAAATTTGTTTTTTACTAAAAAGTTAATTTATGAAGCTCGTGTTAAAATTGAGACTAATCGGTTTAGACCTTTTCAGTCACCGACTTTGAAAACACCAAGCACTCTGAAACGCCGTTCCAAATTTGCGTAAAACTTCGAAAATATTCCCCGGAACGATATGAAGTTTTCTGTGTATATTATTAAATATATGTACATTAAAAAAAAAAAAAATTAAAAACAAGTCGATTTTTTCCAACTGTATATAGTCCTTTAAAATTGCCATTCGTTAGAAAAACATTTTCATATGTAAGCATTTTTTTTGGAACTCAAAATTGTCATCTTTGATACAAATACTGATCAATTGTTTGTAAAAAAATTACAACTTAATAGATTTTATAATTAATGTATTAAGAAATTTCAAAGCTGTCTTAACTTGGTATTATGTGAAGTTGGTCAGGAGGGTAAAACTTCGCATTACAATTATATTTCAGATGATTCCTTTAATAATCCTAAAATATTGAAACTTGAGCCTCTTTTTCGCACCAAAGACAATCTTTATAGCCTTAGCTATAACATATATTAAATTATTTTAGTATAAAAAAGAGGTTCGTACGTGTTTTCTCCCTAATCCAAAATACAACTTTGAGGGTGTATAACGTAATGCCGACAATCGAAATCTCGAAATTTAAAATTCCGACAGTCAAAATACCAACAAATCAAAACACCGACAAATCACAATACCGACAAAGCAAGAAAAGGTGGCGTTGTTGAGGATCATAACCCTTAGTCAGTAGAATTATCTTTCTGTACTTCGGTAGAAATAAGAGCGGATAAGTTAAAATATTTTAAACATGTCGGCATTTTGGTTTGTCGGTATTTTGATGTGCCGACATTTTGAACTTCGGATTTTAAGTGTATCCCAACTTTAGATATAGGAGAATCTATACTTATTGATCCTTTTCTAGTTGAATTCCAGTCTGTTATAATGGATTATATTATCAATATACATATAATTCTTAACATTTATATTTCTTTTTTAACTGCTCAACAAGAAGAAGAATACAAGTAAACCAACAACATAAAGGAAAGTTGAAAAAATATATAAAACAAGAAAAAACGTTGCACCGAAGCTAATATACCCTTCACAGGTGCATTTCTTTTAGTAACTATGTGTATGGAAGCTATACGCTATAGTAATCCGATCTGAACAATTTTTAGGAGATTATATCATTACCTTAAGCAGTAATCCATGTCAAATTTCGTGCAGATACCACGTCAAATGCAAAAGTTTTCCCTTGATTCCGTTAGTTCGGTTTGTATGGCAACTATATGCTATAGTGGGCCGATCTGAACAATTTCTTCCGATATTACATTATTTCTATGAACAATAACTCATACCAAATTTCGTGAAGATATATCGTCAAATGAGGAAGTTTCCCCTGCAAGCATTTGATTCCGATCGTTCAGTTTGTGTGGTAGCTATATGCTATAGTAAGCCGATCTGAACAATTACTACGGAGATTACATTGTCGCCTTATAAAATAATCTATACCAAATTTCGTGAAGATACATTGTCAAATGTGAAAGTTTTCCATAAGGGAACTTGATTTCGATCGTTCAGTTTGTAGGGCAGCTATGTATGTGTTATAGTGGTCCGATATCGGCATTCCTGACAAATGAGCAGCTTCTTGAAGATAAAATGACTTTTGCAAAATTCATTATAAATGGGAGAAACACACATTTTAAATAGTTGAATTTTTAAACTTTAAATGAAAATATCTCAAAAACCATAAATCAACGGCAACTATACATATATATATATTTTTTTTTTTTCTTAATCTGGAGGACCTCCTCTATCCATACATTCCGATTTTAACCCCGAAAACCGGGGATGCTATTCTAAAATTTATTCACTCTGTTTTCTATTTAGACACTCTTTATAATATCTCGAATCTGTTGACGTTCGATTTGAAATGATCGTACCTTCAAAAAAAATGTCTAAAGTGAACTATTTACATACACATATTTTTTTACTTGTCTATTCTTTTGGACCTGTCAAATTTAATAACACATTTAAGGTTTTAAAAGATTTCTTTGAAGTAATCAAAAATTTTATTACAAAAAAAAATTATTTTACTCTATTACAGCGAATTCCACATACGACATAAAAGGTAATTTTACCTTGCCGTTGTCATCTAAAAATGCAGTAACCGAATTAATAAATAATTCTGGAGGCAGCTTAAGCCTTTATAGAGGAGAAATGATGTTACATGTCCCAGAGTTTGCTATTGGTAAAAATCAGAAAAAACATATGTCTTTGATTGTATTGAGTGACGAAAGTGCCCGAATATCAATTCCTTGTGCTGAATCGTTATTCGTTTGCAGCACAATTGTATATTGTTCTCCTAGAAATTATAGTTTCCAGAAACCAGTTATAATCAAATTGCCGCATTGTTTAATTGAACCTCGACACTGGAATGTGCATATATACCAAGCAGATAACGATCATTACGATATTAACTCGAATTGGAGAAAAATAGTTTCCGTTGGAAAAGAAACTATAAACACACCGGTTTTTGTCAATGTGGAGGAAAAGCATTTATATATAATGACAGAACAATTAGGACGTTTTGCAGTAGTTGCTGAACCAAGCAATCTCACCGATTACCTGCCTGCTATTGAAATGCGACTTATTGCGTTCAGTCAATTAACGCCGAGCAGCTCGAACTGTAGTCTTCGAATATATGTTGTAAAAGACTTTCCCAATAGTAAGGACATTTGCAAGACAATTGAGACAAAGTTGGGTGGTACTATTATGGGCGAAAGTGAGACTTTTGCTTTTCACTTAAATGCCTGCGATTTAGTAATTCGTGTCCATAACACGGAGTCAAGTTCGTGGGACCTCAAGGAACAAACTAATTACGAACAAATTATTCCATATAATCATATTCTCAACAACAATTCAATTTTGCATTGTGAGTTTACCATAAAAAGATCTCTGAATTCACAATTAGTTTTTGATGTGGACTTTGAGCAGAGTGGTTTAGAAAACATGGAATCACAGATTCACTCGTTCATTATTTCAAGTGAACATTTTTCACAAAGTGACGTTCGGTCTCAAACATTTGAAAATCGGCAACATCAAGCAATTGTTTCCATCGATCGTGATAGTAGCTTCATAAATGAGACGAATACTTTGAGTAGCGTTTATTTACCACACACTTGTAAGCGGCTGATCTGCGATGCTTTGGACCCACCTCGCCAAGATGAAAAAGATTGGCGTTTGTTGGCTAAAAAACTTGGCACAGATCATTACATTGCGTATTTCGCTACAAAATCATCGCCAACCGAGCAAATTCTCAATCTATGGGAATGTCGAGCAAAACATTCCTCGCGTACAATTGTTGAATTATTAATAGTGTTCAGTGAAATGGACAGAGAGGATATAAAACAAATTATTACAGATACTAACGGCCCTCTTTGGGTGTGAAAAAATATTTGCACAACTGTTATTACTGATAAGTTGAAATGCCTTTATTTGAAAAATTAAGATATTAAAATAATATATATTATAAAATAAGTAAGAGCATTTATAAGTAAATGTGTATCTAAATATCGAAACATAATCTCTTAAATAAAAGGGGAATTCCCAAAATATTTCACGCGTCGCGGTCAAACCAGTGCTAAAACCCATTTCTTTTTTTTAGAATTCATTGGCGACTACAAATTTTTGCTATTTAGTTACTTATTTTATAAACGATGTTTTATAGTTGTACTATACGTTTAAGCATATACTGCGTTCGATATTGCATTTTATAAGGACGTAAAAAATGATATTAAAGCAACACATAAGTAAATAAAACACAAAAATATGATATAAAGTACTCACACACATAAAATGAAATTACTTAATACCTGTGATCAAAAATTGTAATTGTAATAGYTATCGAACACTTTTCCATTTTTCTAATTAATTTTAGTTTAATTTACACATAATAATATAATAAATTTATAACATTTTATGACTGAGTATTTCATCCATATATAGCTAAGTAAGTTTTAAGAAATTAACATGCTTTGTGACCACATTCATTTATATGCATTCATATGCACGTTTAAATTTATTATTGGAAATAACAAATTAATACTTCGAGATAAGATCATGCCGTTTTGTTAAATATATTATGGTACATAGTATATTTATAATGACACAGTGTTAAAACATGTTTACAATGTGTTTAATTTTCTGAAATTGTGATTTTATAGATTGCAATATTATTCTATCATATATATGTATAAGATAAAATATGCCATGGCTTTACTTTCGAAATTATGCGGGCAGTTAATTTAAACTAAGTTAATAATTGATGAAAATAATAAACCACATTCATTTGAATAATTTTTTTTACTATTGCTCTCATTTTATAAGCTAAGTACTTTAGAACAATAACAGATTACTGCTGCACAACTTACTATGACTTCTAATGAATGACCGCGATTGTGAGAAATAAAACTAAACTAAATTAAAATAATACTTACCTATTTGCGTAGCCAAATATAAAAAGCATGTGAAAGACAAATAGTGTCCAAATTTTTCCAAGTGCAAAATCGAAAAATTAAAAACTCCGTGCCAAATTCTCCGTTTATTAAGAATAAGAATGGAGTGGCATATGTATTTATATTATATGTAGTTCATAAAATTTAAAATGACTGCTCAACACATACTACTATATAAAATTGTGTCTATTTGTTTCAAAGAAATGAAAAATAAGTACACAATTATGTAAAAGTATGTAAACAAATAAAATATGGTTTGTTCGGACTGTAAAAAAATATACTCATAAATGAATAGGTCATAATTTACATACTATATACTATATATGCTCAAATAGAATAACTCTTGTAAACTAAAAATTAATCATGTACAACTGCAACAACAAAAATCATGGACATCTAAATATTTTTAGAATGTTCTTGAACAAATTCACACAAGTAATGTTAAGTATAACTTTTATAAATAAACGTCACTGCATAATGTACATTGTTTTGGAATTTCCCATATTGAGTTGTATTTTTCGCATTTATAAGGATGCGAAAAGGTAAGTTCAATTTTATGTTAGTGTATGCTTAACGAGTAAGGAAGTTCAAAGGTCTGGTATAACTGAACATTTGATACTCGTACCCTTCAGGTATATAAAACTTATATACATATATTAATTGATTCTTAATTAGTATACTGGAAAGCGAAAGAATAAACGGGAATGTAAAATTATGTTATATCGGAAGTAGGCGTGATTTTAGCTCGATTTTATTGAATATGACACTGTGTCATACGAGTGCCAAGTGAATACGTGTCGAATTGAGTTGAAATCTGTCCAGTAGACTCCGGGATATGTAATTTTTCTTTAAAGTGAGGGATGACACTGACTCCTTTAAAGCCCTTTCATACTATCTCGGTGGTAAAATATAATACCTTTGGCGTAGTTATTAATTTATGTTGCCTTTAGTAGTTTTTAACAGTACCGTTATATGGGAAGTAAGCGTCGTTATCATTCCATTTCACCCATTTTCACACCATCGATAGAAATTCTTATAATGTTTGCGCTAGACGAATTTGCTTGCAGAATTAGTAGTTTAGGAGTTAAGTGCATTCAACTCTTTTCAAACTTTAGTGCTTAGTTATGGGTCTTGTTTGTCTTAGGTTTGTGGGCGTTGCAGTGCTCCGAATATCCCCATCCTCGAACTCGTTAATTTCTTTTTGCCAAGTAACGCACATATCAAGTTTCATCAAGATATTTCACAGTACTCTAGTTACAGCTTGCACGAACGGATGGGGAGACAGACAGTACACATATTTAAACTTTTCTAGTACATACAACCGCTATGTGAACAAAACCATTATACTCCGAAGCACCATATTGCAAGAGTATAAAAATAATTTAAAGGCTACTTATGTATGGATATATGTGACCTGGTCTACGAAAAGGGAGCTAACGTGCGAAAACTAGTTTTCTGGGAAACAGCTGTTAAAAATAAACAACTCTTTTCGTCAGTTTCTCGTTATCTCATTAATTGTTCTCCTTTCCAGAGGCTTCAAGGACGTCCAGTAAGTGTTGTTTTTGGTCGGAATATTATTATAGTTCATCGTGTAAGTTGCTAGTGTGGAACATTTAAAAAAGTAACACTGAAGAAGTGACGTTTACTCTAATACCGCGCAGCTGCTGTTGTCTTGTTTTTATTCGTCTATCTTTCCGGATGTTCTGTTATCACATTTGTGTAAGTGTTTCTGTTGATTATCGTCTTCGCATTTCGCATGAAACATGAGTGTTGATGAGGAGTTCAGTGCCGTAAACGGACAATATTTCCATGAAAAGGATGATGAAAACAATGAAGAGAGCGATTATGATGAAGACGAAATATGTGTATCTCAGGCAGAAGATGATACCTAACAAACTTTTGTTAAGATTGACCTGTCTATTGTTGAAGTAAAGGAGGAGGAGCTGGTAACAAAATTTTGTCAAAAGATTGTTGTAATAATAAATGTCATACACTGATACCACGGGAAATGATCGAGAGTACGCGAAACAATTGTTTAGAGATGCCGAAAAATGAACTTGATTTAGTGATACAAGTCACATCGAAGCTGAAATTACGAGTAACGAAAAGCTAGAAAGTGTATACGCAAAGCTTGCTGGGCGGAAGAAATATGGACAGAGACAGGATACAGAAGTTATGAGGCATAAAATTACATTTACCTTCTACAGAGTACCGGCTGACCTCGAAAAAGCTGTTAAATTCATTGAGTCTATAGCCGATTTAATGGCTCTTCCACTGCCCGGACGACTCCCAAAATTTAAGGATTTTCGGATAATGAATCTGCCATCCAGCGAGACGAAGTCCTCAATTTATCGAAAATACATTTCTTCGCTCAGTGATGACGAATTGAAGATGAGTAATCGCAGTATGGTCCAAATACATACCCTACGTTACAGTTATGAAACCAGCGGATGATTTCTGCGATGTCTGCCGTGGTAAGTAACTCATTATTTGCTCATTTTATAGTTGTATCAAACGTTGAGATTAAATTCAGTATTTTTTCTTTTAATAGGAAACGCAATATCGATTGCGCAAGCCAAAGGTGTTGCTGACATTGACATTGATTTAGGGAACTTTCAAACAAGTTATGACTTTTTGGATTCTATCACGTGAAAAAGCATCTCATCTTCCATTCGAATCAACTAAAAAGTGAAAATTGATTTTTTAACACCTAAGCCCCCTTTCCGTAGACCAGGTCACATATATTGCGCATTCACTATAATGAATGATACAAACAATTGCTAACTAGGCAATTGCTAAGAGGGCAATTATGTACTTATGTTGCAAATTGCGAAATTGATTGATATTCGAATCTTAAGAACTCAATTCGAATTTAAAGAACATTTTTGTTGAACACTCTTATTACGCCCTTATAATTACGGGAGAATAGCTGACGTTCGACAACTCGCACTTTGCGTGTAAGAAGAGAAGTATGTATGTATGTACGAGGTGTGTTCAAAAATTATCGCGAATTTTGAATTGTCGCGGGTTACGTATATTCGAATTTAGAATTTTTTGTGGCGTTATGTTGGTACTCATGTCTCTCACTTATGCTGACAAGCTCGGCCATTTTGAATGTTCAATTAATTGTTGACAGCTGCTTTGCTTGCACGTGTTTTGGATCGTCTTCGATTTTTTTTTTTGCCAAAAACAACACACTAAAGATGCCGCAGCTACCGTATTCCCCAGATCTGGCCCCCTGTGACTTTTTCTTGTTCCCTAAACTGAATAGGCCCATGAAAGGACGACGTTACGCTTCTCTTGACGAGATAAAGACGGCATCGAAGGAGGAGCTGAAGAAGATAAAAAAAAAAGATTTTTTGAAGTGCTTCGAAGATTGGAAAAACTGTTGGCACTAGTGTATAATATCTCGTGGGGATTACTTTGAAGGGGACAATGAATAAATAAATAATTTTTGAAAAATCACAAAATTCGCGATACTTTTTGAACACACCTCGTATGTAAGTCGTCTGTTGCCATTTTGTAGATTGCATCGACCATTTTTGTTCGAAATACTTCCTATGGTTCCTTAATTTTATTTTAATATTTCCAAATTGAAGCGTGTCTCGTCTAGCACAACAATTTACCTTTTTATGTATTCTTACATCATAATTGATTAAAATAGTTTCAAATCAATGTACATATGTATGTATGTATATTATACAAAAGAAAGGCGTGTTAGTTACACTATTTATAATTCAAGATTGGCTGAAAATTGGTAGGGAGCTAACTTAAAACCAGGGGTCTAATTATTGAAATCGTATCGAAAATTAAGTTTTCGATGCAGTTGAACTTACTCGACGACTCGATAAAATACATTCCGTGGCCAACAGATAGCGCGAATTTCGAAATCATTGAAACCGCAAAATCGAAAATATTTGTCGAAATCTATCCGTTGATAAGTAAACTGCGTAAAATGGAGCATTTGTAAATATTTCTTCTTAATTGGCGTAGACACCGCTTACGCGATTATAGCCGAGTTAACAACAGCGCGCCAGTCGTTTCTTCTTTTCGCTACGTGGCGCCAATT